GCTGCATGGATGCACCGACGATTATCACCCACTGATACCATGGTTTATATTCTGAACGCGTCACCTTAAGTGGAACTAGGATATAAACCAGCCGATCTTCCAAACTCAAGGTCTTGTGAGCCGCTTGCCCTTGCCCCGCAAGAAGAGACCGTCAAGTCACACCAAAGGAATAAATGTGGAATGATTACTCGACGAATGCAATAAGGTAAGTAATATGTATATTTTTTACTTGAGTATACAGAATCGATCATTCCTTTTTTTCAAAATGCAGTATCGAAAACAGATATTAAAATAATCGTTAGTATATCAAGTGGCATATAAACTTCACTATTTCTTTGTCCGATGTAGCTTACTCGAAGCTTTTCTTTTATCTGCACGAAAAAGCTTGGTATAATCATCACTGCATATGTCAGATCTGGACTGAGCCCCTTGTCAATTTCAAAGTTCATGATTAATCCTACAAAATTAAGCTGTGGATGTTTTATGTTTTAATGACAGAACTTTGGACAACACTGTACAGATGAGGGTTGGACTGTTTCGCCATTGAACGTTCGTGAACATTTCCAGAAGAAAGCCGGTAACTTAACTACTCAAACTTGACAGATTTATTTGTGAACAGCAACAAGTTTCTAGGAGCATCCCATGTTCTGCTCGAGTGCTTTTGGTTAGATCCTGAGTCAGCATCTTCTTCACACCTCACCCCTCCAGCTTTAGCATTGGATGGAACCTCTGCGGTCTCCTAATGACGACAGAAAGAGCATACTGTCCGAAACGTTGACTTCCCTCCAGTTCTTTTCAGAATCACACATACTCATAACAGAGATATCCTTGCATGGTGCGATACAGCTATAAACTATGTTGCTGTACCTTCAACATGAAAAGCTTCAAAGCTCATCCAACTTTCGTGACTTTATTTCTCTGAACTTACCTTGGAAATTACCAGCACAGCGATCAATTTCATTTCAAGTTGCCGAGTTCTCTAATCAGAGAACGTGTGAATGGCCTAGGATCCTGCCATTGTTACTGCAGCATTGAGACCCACACGGCTTTTATAGCCTCTACCTGTATAGTATTAATCTTCAGCATTACTGCCACCAAGGAGCACCAAATGTCGCCGCCTAAACCTCTTACAGCCTGTTACAGGCTCAACGAAAATGCCGGTATTGCATTAATTTGAGACATATTACAGGGTATCCGTGTAGCAGTTGTGTAAAAACCATTATATAGGCATATCTGTGTATATAAAACTCGATTAAACAAATGTATTAAAATTAAAAATTGGCATTGTAATTTATCATTACCAGTGTCCCTTAAAAATATGACACTCCGTTATTCAGTACGAATTGAGTGACGGAAGAAATACCGTCAGAGAGAATGGAAAGGCTCCATTTGTGCAAAATGATGGAGCAGCGAAACAATAGCGTGACTTCACAGGTGAAGGTTAAAGGTCATGAATTGTTGGGATGCGGGGGAACTTCTTCTGAGCGACTGTCCAAATATTTTAGGGAGGGGGCGGGGAAACCTTCCCCCTGCATTAAAGGATTAAAGTGCTAACTAGCACAGCGTCTGAGATATTGGCATTTTGGATTCATGAAAAATGTCTTAAAAGACTTCTGAGCGTTGAATATACCCTAGGTATATACCTTTCAAGGGGGCGTGCAATGAGCCCTGAGCGTGACCAAGGGAGGGCACACAAAGTTTTCTAGCAACGGAGGCTTCTTTGGTAGGAACTGCACTTTGTTGGTTTTAACAAACGACTGCACAATACCCCACAAAAATGAACAGTACCGACCAGCATGGATCTTTCTCAAACAATGAAAGGGTGCTTCTGGTCAAGGAGTATCATGACACTTAACAAGATTGTCTTGGAAAGGCCTTTAATAATTTCCTGCTGCGCGCAGGCTTTCATCATTGAGGTCTGATTGTCGAAAGGAGAACTCCCAAAATCTCTTCATCCACCTTTGGGTAATGAAGGTGATAAATTCTGAAGACGAGATCTTGAAACGTACATCGTCGGCTGTGTGCAAAAAGGTCATTATAGCAAAAATTGAATTTTTGAAAAATATTCTTGAGGCTTTTACTCTGAAGAAATATTAATCTCCATGTATTAAAGAAATATTCTCCTGCAACAGATAGTATTCTTTTCTTTTTATTTATAAGATTAGTTTTGGGGGGCCAACATGTATAAGTTTAGACCAACTGTCTTGGTTAAATTCATGTCTAAAACGATATTTCTCGGTATTAGGACCTTTAAGTGCATTTTTAAAATAAAAAACTTTAAGCACTGACACGATGATGTGGTAACTATGCCATGATAACCGTAGTGGGATGATGGGATGACGATAGTGCTCATTGGTGATCAAGGTGGAAGGTGATGAAGGTGTTGATGAGATGTTCGTGGTAAGTGTATTGAACGTGATGATCGCAGATTGCTGGTGATACTGCTGCAACTCTAGTTATCCAAAGTGGGATGTCTTGAGTTGCAGCCGGGCATTCAGCGCTATGTCAAACTGATGACTGTCACTTTCACTTGCAGATTTGCGCGATACGTGGGGTCTCCCTTCTATCCGTAGCGCAGATAATGGAAAACAAGAGATGCGAAGGGCGGCAAAACATGAAGTGCTCCAGCACGGCCGATTGCCAAATGGACGGGTGTAACCAGTACTTGTGCAGTACGATGAAAGGAGGGTACTGCATGATGACTGTCTGGCACAGCGGTTTGAAGGAAATCAACCAGCAGATCGGTGAGTAAGCCAGAAAGGACAGAGGCGCATACTATAGTGCGCTTAGTCCGTGGCACCTTGAGAAACAGTAACATTACATTGCCCTTTTAACATTAGGAAAAGATGAGATCTTTCTGATGAGGTGTGATTATTCTAAATTGGCCTCTCTCCTCGTTTGCCAAATTAATGTGGCCTTAGCAAACTGCCATTCGCGTGATGTACAGTGAAAGGAATTTAGTTTCGCTTCCAAAAGGTTCTTTCATTGTTAGCTAGGGAAGGAAATTCCTTTCATGGAATTTTCAGATAGGGGCTAGGACTACATGTATGCCATTCTGAATAAAAAAAGGAAAATGATTTGGCAAGGATTTATTGTAAAAAAAAAGGTAAGATGCACAAGTCTTAATGGATGGGTCAATGCCACTGTGCGTATAGGTTTAACCCATGATATGCTATCGCCAAGTAAAAAAAAATGAAATTGAAAAATATAACACAACAAAAATACCACTCGAACAAAACCTCATAAGCATGGTAAAGGGGGAACAATGCAAAATCCAACTAGCATGTTAAACTATAGGGCCAACGGCCGAATATTAATCACAAGAGAATGCCTGTCAAATTTTACAAGTTCTACTGAAGTTCTGCTGGAAGTCTAAATCAAATTAAACATGAAGGGCGTTGACTAATCATACTTCACCCATCAAAGATCTTGTGAATCTCAGAATAATGTGATGACAGTAATTCCTGGCACAAAGTAGAGACATACGTGCTTCAAAATACATCATTTACGTCTCCCATTTAAAAAATACTTGTTTTACAAACAAGGTATCATTATTTTTAAAAATCACACGAAAGCTATTCTGATGAGATTATTGTGATGTCAACGCCCTGGCGGATGATTGTTACCCGTTTTGTGGGGGGTGGAACTCTTCCCACACGCGCAGTAGGTAATTTCCATTGTGTGCTCAATGATGTTTTTATCTCCTTTTCCAGATGGCGATGTTAGTGGAAAGTAAAAATGGCCTGCTTCAAAAGCGACGCTTGGAAGGCGGGAGTTTGAATCACACAAGCCTATAGATGGTTGAATCCATCTCCAAAACATATTTTTATCAGTCCCATCCCATAAATAAAGTACTTTGCGACTTTGCAATGGGCCGCCAGTTCGCTTCGCTTTTACGTTTGGTTATATGAACAAGCTTCATTACGGAATAACATCGCAAGGTACAGATTAAGCTCTTTTAAAATTTCATCCCAAATAAGTTATTTTTACTACTTCATGTACGTTATTCAGGTTTTCAGCTCAACTTTTTTCCCCTTCAAAATCATACCTATTGAGTGAAAACCCTGTGGTGCCATCGAGTATACTTTTTCGAAGTCCGATTTAGAGGGAATTTTTCTCCAACTTTACAAGATACATTTTTCCAGTTCATTTGTTCGAGACATTTTTCTCCAGTTCTTTCTTTCAGATCTATGCAATCGGTTTTACGAAATGTATTTTTTCAAGTTCATTTTTAGGAGACAAATTTTTTGAAGTTCTTTTTTATGAGTTTTATGGGGAAGTGTTTTGAGATGCAAATTCAAACTTATAACTTTAAATATATCTCTCTTGAAAATTAACTTGCAAAGATGTATCTCATAAAGACAATGTTTCTAAAAACAGATGCCGAAAGAACGAACTGGAGAAAATATATCGTGAAAATGAACTTTGTAAAAAATTGTTCCTGGTAAAATGAGATGAAAACAAATCAAACTTTGGTAGGATGGTTTGCCATGTTTTACATACGTTGTTAATGAACCAGATCTTTAAAATGATTTCTGGAATAGGCATATTTGAGAATCAGCGTAAAAACGAATTTCGAAAACAAAAATTCCCGTTGGTACTACTGGGCCTTGGTACTCCTGTATTCCCTTCCCTTTCAGTAATGCCAGTGAATTTGAAGAAATCAAATATTTTGAAGACAGCAATGGTGGAATTTTGAATGTATACTGCATGTACTTCGTTTCTTGTTGGGGACGATAGCAGTGTCATGAAAATAGTCATTAACGAGATTTTCAGAGCCATTTTATCCAGTCACGGCATTAACTCGAAACTTCCATTATCGAGCATTCACATCTTTCGCTCGTCATACCGATTTCCTCCAAAATTTGTTTAACTCTGGATGTAGGAAAAAAATTGGTGGTGGTTGCAAGTCAGCTTAAAAAGTAGACTATGATCGAACACACAAAACAAACATGTAAACTTATACGAACGACAATAAATCCGAGAAATACGCCAAGATCCCAAATGCCTTTGAGAGGATTTGTATTTCATTTTACACGGTTCAGTGTCTTATTTACAAAATATGCACTCTCTCTGCATCAGGTAACAACAAAAATGGCAGGTTACGTACTACCCACTCAAACATCAGTTTAGGAAAAATAAAGATAATTAACGCCACAAGCAGACACGGCTGTTATACATGTAGTTTGAAGTAAAGCAATAATTGTAGATGTATTTCACTAAGTTTTCGCCAAACTCTCATGGTAACAAAAAGAGATCGAGTGACTGGAAATTTCCTACCATACCCAAGTATTTGCAATGGTAAAATACAGACGGACAATTTTTCACCGAACGCTCGTGCCAACAAAATAACATATTGTGTGACTGGAATTTTCTTTTTTCATGGGCAGATATATTTGAGATAATAAATTACGGACGTGAAACAGACATGAGAAACACGATAAATCATCTCTACGTTTAAATGCCAACTACCACCACACCCACGAAATGAAATATGGCTCTTGCCCAACAAACTTGTCCAACTCAACCCAACCTACAACTTAACCCAAGAAACAATAGAAATTCAAAGAAAGAACGTGAGGTATTTCTATCTCTCGATTAACAGGCACAGCTATACCCACGTTAGCCCCTCTTATCTCCTTGCGTGCATTTTACACACACGCGTAATCCACAGTTTCTAACTGCACACCTCTAAAGTGCGGTCAGTTCTCAGCGTGCATTTACTTGACAGGACGACCGTTGTATGTGAATTCAAAAGGAAATATGGAAATTAAAACTGACTGCCAAAGAAGGAAAAGTTACTAACCTTTTACAAACAAATACAAAGCAATGGGGGTTTATTTAAATGCATTTTATAACTTAATTGAGTTAAACCGTTGGATGGGAATAGGTTTTGGAAAGAGCCATGAATGCCCACTTTCCGTCAAGAGAAGAATGGACGACAGTTGCAGCGTTTCCGGTAATAGGAGTACAGCCTCCAATTATCAGCTTGCATCATGTGGCCTTATTGGTCTTTGTCTTGGCTTTGGCATCTCGCTTCCCTCTCTTCTTGAGATTGTCCATGTTTGCCTTCAAGACATTGGCGTAGGCCTGTCAAAGAAGCAAAAGAAGCCAAACGAGATCTGGTAAGGACACTTTGAATCCTGCTCCCTCGGGTCCCCCATGCCTCGCGCAGTCAAGTCCTGTAACAAGTTAATGACAAATAACCACAAACTGCGTTTGCATGAACTTTGACAAAAGATTTCCCTTGTCATCTTTCATCATGCAACTACCGGCGGTCGTCATTCGGCAGAACCTAGGAGATCATTCTGAGCGGGAAACTGAACTGTTCTCTGACCTTGTGAAGGAAAAAATCAGTATAACCTTAATGCAAAAAAATAATAATAAATAGTTGAAACATAACAACACGACAATAACTCCCGAGTATCACAGTACAACGCAGTTTCTGTAACAATTGGCAAAAGGTTAGGGCAGATGGCATATCTTAGTCCAGGTGGTTACAATGAGAAAGCTTCACTTTGTTTACAGTCTGTTGAGGCCAATTAATTGTAGTAAATGAAAATATGCGCAAAAAGCCTACACAATTGACTTTGCACTCAAGGTCAGAACAAAATGAACCTCACGACGGCGGAATCTGCCCATCCTGTGCATTCCCACGTACTCTCATTACGAGTATCATTTTCTATTTCTCGATTGAAGCTGTTGGGACTGGACCCTACGCACGTTTCGACACTAACACTTTCATAAAATGGGAACCACTGCAAGCGAAAAAATATCGGTTGGGGACAGTGCATGAGGAAATCCATGGACCACAGTGTGTTGTATAAATATCGGTAACTACATGTATACACGGTTCAATGACATGTATATTATTATGAAAATAGTTTCAGTAAACTTTAATTGCGGATTAAGATCGCAGTGGACCCCTCCATGCGCCACAATAGGTCAAATCGTGTCCTTAATAAAGTGCCTTTTGATTATCCTTGTTTGGCGGGAAAAACCTCCCAACACGATGCCTAATCACATGAAGTCATGACGAAATTTATAAGCTATATATAAGAACAATTCACTCATTACAAATGTATACCCCACGCACAGCAAACCTTCGATCACCAACCTCCAAAAATGTTAAACATTTTAAAACTGCGTTCCACATAATCTAACTTTGCTTCAAATGATGTAACTACCTGTTCTACAAATAAGGACCAAATTTTGCAGTCCAGATATCAGATTGCAAACTTTGGTACAGAGGGGGATAAAAGACACGGCACGGGGCATAAACAGAAACGCAGCAAACTAATTGATCGCAAAAACCTGCTTAATATTGCTGATGTACATAGCTTAGTCCGATCAATACAGCAGCGAGAGAAAATTATCGCAAACTGACATCGTGATATCCATGGCGACAGCCACTTCAGAAAAACAAGATAAGTCAATACTTCAACAGATGTTTAGATGTGACGCCGTCATCAATCGATTGGACAAATTCCATTCTAAAACCACAAGAAAGTCGGTACATTCCCAAACACATGCAATCAAATTTCGCTGATTGATTTTGAACATGTTTCTTTACATGTACACTGAAGGCTATAAAACTTGCAGTTTGGAAAGAAAATATATACCCTCACATATGCCACTAAGTAAAGAATATATGCTTTTTTTTTTAAAGTAAACTGCTTGTCGTTGCATAGAGCCGTACCCGAGATCAGACACTAGTGTACATGTACAAAGGCCTTATTTAAGACAGTTTGGCCAATCTAATTGGTCGACAGCCTGTCATGTGGCAGGTCATAAAAGTATGATCAAGCACCGGCTGGCTGTACCCCACTTCACGCAGTACGCGCCATCTCCATAAAGCCTGATTTCCATATGCATGTAGACGTGAAGAAGCAGAGACGAACGGAAGAGACGGTGCCCACAAATGGTCAAAATGGCGTCCGAAACTCCTTGATTTTTGCGGAAAATACCCTTTTAGATTGACTGTGCCTCGTCTTAATGCCAAACCTGTACTCCAGTTTCATGCATTTCGTTGATGGTCAGCTATTTAGTGGATCTTAAGGGTGTAATTAAGGAGAAAAGCGAGAGGGACATCGTTGCACATCAATCATGCTAGCATGCATGTTTTATATGGGGATACCACGGCCACTTGACGTAGACAGTCGGCAAAGTTGAACCTGGCTCAATTTTGCCGATCCGTCAGGGGCTGGTTTGCGTTTGTCTGCGTTGTCGGCGACACCTCCGTTTGGCATGTTTCCAAATGTCTGCGTTGCCGTTTGGGTCTTGATTGCGTTACCCTCGGCGTTTCTGACGTCGATAATATCGACGTTTCCAGATTATGGAACCCGGGCTTAACAAAATTGTTAACGACCAGTTGGGAGAGGCACATACCAAACTTGGCTGGAGGAGTGTTCGAAAAAATGAAGTAAACAATGGTGAACAAAATCGTTGGATACTTCTAATTAAAAACTTGTTTTGACTGGTGATTCAAAAGGTATTTATGAAGGAAAATAAATATGTGCTTTGCCGATCTGTAAAAACGTTCGGCTCAGGAAAAGGGACGCTGACAATGTCTCTCCCCTTCGGCTCGGGCAATATCACCATCCATTCTCCCAACCGGCCAAGCGCACGCATGCTTAGGCCTACTCCCTTGGTCATACACTTTTGCAACACTCAGTAAACTGACAAGAATGGAAAATGAGATCCCTGACACGGTAGGGGCAGAATGCAACGGACAAGAGATTTTATGGGAAAACTTGGGACACTCGGGCGCAAATGACAATCGGGGCGGTGAAAACGGTTCGTGGAAACAGATGATGAAAGAAAGAAATATTCGGGCTCAGCACGGAATGCTCGGGCTGTCTCGGGACCTTATCCACTATCCTGACCCGGTCTTAACGTTTTAGACCGGCCAAACACGTACATGTATTTATTCCCTAGTTACAATATTCCCATATCGACTATTATCTTGCTTGTGTCTTCATAGCCTCATTTTGTAAATGAACCTAACTTGGTTGAGAGTTCTGATTTGTGCCTGGAAAATACAAATCTGGCAACACGCCTCCTCCAGAATACTTCATCAGCTTTCAACCGTTACCGTACCTGGCGCTTCGCCAGCAATGACCGATTTGTTAACATCTTTGTTTTGAATGGCGACTCTTCATGTAAAAATCGAATGAAATACAGGTGCAGATTTAGTTGACCTGGTTAGCTGTTCCCATTACCTAGTATTACGCATGGTTCACTGTTTCGCATTCCCAATAGTCATGTGGACGTCTTGTGACACCATTTTCAGGCTGGTACACGTGCGAACAGCTGAGCTTGCCAAATTTAAGTAACGCGCAAAACGCAAATAGAAATGTGCACAATGTCAAAGCATGTAAACCCGGAAAGCCTACATCTGAAGCAAGATATAGGACGGAGAGAACCCCCCCCCTTCACCTTTGTGTTGGTCAGGAATTCTTTTCAGACAACAGTCCAGAGTGTCTAATTAGGTTTGGACATTTAGAGGGGTATCCCTCTGTTCCTTATCTTGCCGGGCATAGATTGCAAAGTGAGGGATGCATGAATTCTCAGTCCAAATTCTGGTGACAAGAGAGCACTTCGCAATATCGCAAATACACAACAGCCGTCCCACGATCAAGACCAGGTTCCAAAACAGACTCGCCCGCCAAGTAATTAGTCACTAATGTACTCTGAACTGGATCACCACGTACTGCTAAATCTACTCGCTAGCAAACTCCAGCATTTTTCGCCAGAAACTACATTTATAAATTAGTAGGCTTTCATTTGCCAGGAAGGATTAGGATTGGTTTACGGAAATTCACATTACAGTGTGGAGTGTGGATCTTATCATTTCCCCAGAAAAAAAAGGGAACAAGTGCTGTGAACCGAAAGTGGTGAACCTACTTAAGTTTCTTCTTTCCTGTTTTCAATAGACCAGATGAGCCCAGTAAGTCACATGACATATAATGGGTATCAAACATCAACAAACATGGGTGTCCCCAATAGCAAAGTGTGTCATAATTATCATTAACCGAAAATGAAGCTAACGGTCGGTCAAGTACTCAGACTACTGAGGTGCTGAGTTCTATACCAAAAATAGGCTTATGGGAGGATGCCACGTTTTTTGATATGTTATACCCCAGGCTTGGAAATCTGTACTAATGTTGAAAGAGACACTCATGCTTAAGAATAATTTTTCCGATGTTTTAAGGAAAAGGCAAATGAAAAAGCAGAAAATATAAACTGTTGCCATCCTAAAAACAATTGACGAATTGAAGGGAAAAATGCAATATTGATATGTACGTAGGACTCTCCAATGAAAAGTTCAATCAACATGGTGCACTGGAATTGCCTTGCATATTTTACCTAACAAATCAATACGGCACAATGCAAAATGAATAGGAGTAACAATGCACGAATATCTTGCCTGATGATGTGAGATCCATTATGATTTTAGAGGTTTTCCGATGACAAGAGTGAAAAAAGTGCTAAAGCTGAAAAAAAAATCGTTGAAATTCGTGCCCTGTACATTTTCAATTGGCTGCTCAAGCTTGTTGGCTCCACTTGCCATTTACGCCCATGTACACGTAAATTAGAATTTATTAGTGGGCTGGTCTACTTCTTAGGTCGACATTGTCCCTCCAGTGCAACCCTTGCAACTACATCTAAACCATTACCCGTTCTAAATACATCTTTGACATGTCAGACATAAAGGTCTCTGATCAAACAAACGTCCAGAAGGTTTTGCCATGATTTTAGCATATTTTACACCCTGTGCACAGAGTATCATTACACAGTGCATGCATGTACATCATGGGTGTCAATGTAAATCTCTTGGGGTATGTTTCTGGGTAAATTCAAGGGAGTAAAGAAAAAACATACTTGATGTCTCTGCCTACCCGTACATCAAAGCAAACATCAATCTGTTCACAACAGAACAACATTACAAAGTGGTATTTAACAAATGCAACTGGATGAAACAGGTTTTGAGAAAGCAGCAATCTTTCTGAAGAGTTGTGCGGTTCTCAGAAGAATCAGGTATTGAAATCTCATTCTAATATAACAGAATCCCCAAAGTGGCAAGTGCCGCAGAGGTTTGATCAACAACAGAAGGTCAAATCAGAAATAACTAGTTGGGATTCAAAGAGAAGTGTCAATTCCTAGCAGATGTTTGGTATGTGACTGTCTTTGTTTAACTGATGTAGCAACATACTCATCGACTCACCATTTGGAATTTTGTGACATCTTTTGAACTAATCTGTAGAGAAAAAAAAAGGATTATGATAGTGTTAAAGTCATGACCAAATACCAGCATGTGCCAATGCACCTTTGTAGAGTGGAAATATACCATAAACGGTTTAAACTTTCTGACAAGGCCCACAACACTTTTCCTATGCCCAAACCATCAGCATTATTATGTAATCATTCTTGTAATTCTGATAAATTTATTTACCTACACATTCAAATCTTCAGTTTTACTGAATTATTTTACAAAAAATCAGACACTGTTCCCTACCACTGTGCTGAGTTTCTTCTTGCCATTGGTAGCACGGAAGAGACATTTGTGTTCTGAATGTTCAGAAATCAATGTCCTCTTTGTGTGTCTGGGTTGAGGCTTTGTCTGTCCATAATCTGAAAATAAGAGTGTAATTGTGAAATGAGAACAAATAATACAGGCTTGTTCTTTCACCTAACAGTCCTCCATAATTTCAGAAGCCTTTGGAACTCACATTAGGTCAATGGGAGACTGTGACACGCTTGGTGGTTGAAAAGATAGACATCCCACAGGGGTCCGTCCAATGTTGTTTACTATGCAATTATTGTTTGGTTGAAGTTATAAATGTGTGCATGCTCAAACTCAGAACTGTAAACAACAGCGGACTGATAATATGGGACTAGTATGTTTGTCACTCACCAGTGCCTCAAAAATTTATTTTAGGTTGAAGTCACTCAGAATCAAACAAAATTGGCAGGGGAGAATTAATATTTAATATTTCATGAATTAGACTTTGCTATCTCATCCACATTGAACTAAAGGTGCAAAAGTTTAATGTATAGTACACCTATTTCTGGCTATCAATCCTGGTTATGTGGGTTCACCCATCAGCTTATCCACTAGTGTTCGATACTTGTGCACATGCAAATTCTGAAGGATACTACCCAATTGGGTACTATATATTCACATTTTTTGACTGGTTCCAGTGCTGCTGTAAAACCTGAAAAGCTTCTTCAATGCACATGGATGGGCTTAATTCTGTAATTTGTGCAGCATGCCGTTGTTAAGCCAAAAAACATGATGTGCCATAAATAACTAACAGGTATTTAGTCTTTTGCAGTTTTCATGTTTGTTTTAATCTCGGCAACATTCAAGGTTTTAAGCACTGTATATCAAGTGTTGTTTTTCGTTAAAATTTAGTTGCAGGATACAGCAGAGTGACTGCATGCCAAAGTAGTTCTAGTCTGGCATGCAAATTGTAGCAAGAGCTGCTCTGGGCTATCTAATCATGGTTCCTTGGTTGCCCTGTGGGCTCATGAAAAAATAATTCCCCTTCCTGTTTAAATTCACATCAAAATGCCTGGTACATGTAATGTTTTCAGTATTACATGAATATTGGATCAACACAAATTGAGTAAACATGATTTTTTTTTGTCTTTCCGGCACGATAGCTTGCATGCACGATACACTCCTACACTCATTTAGACATGGTCGGGCGATAGTAGGGGCCAAGTACCTTCCATAGGCTTTTGCTTTCATTAATTCATTTAATTCAAAATAGCTCGTACCCCGAATCAAAATCCTCTGAATTCACCTCCAAAATGGTCCTTAAACTGTCTAATGGACCTGGCTATGGACCGAGTGAGAATCGCGGATTCCAATAATAGTGGTAAGGTTTACTCACATTTGGGGAGAAAAGAGAAATTTCCCCTTCAAATCGGAAATTGTCTTGTGGTCGAGCTCAATGTTGCCATCTTGTTCATGGCACGCTGGCCTAGCGGACCATTCACAAAAAGCATGCCGTGTCGGAAAATGTGTGCCAGTGACTGATTCCTGAGCACCGCAATGTCCGGTACCGGTAACTGTGATCACATTGAAACTGTACATCGTGGCGCTCAGGGAACATTCATTGGTGCACAGTGCCAACATAGCATGCTTTCTCTGTATGGACGGTCCGCTAGGGGGGCGCGCCGTGACATCAACGTACAGGACATCAACATATAGTTCACATTGCTATTTGAGGAAAGATGGTGTCTCTGAGCTCGTTGACAAGACTGTGTCCGATTTGAAGGGGAAATTTCCCTTTCCTTCCCACATGTGAGTAAACCATATAGTCATTATTGGAATCTCTGATTCTCACTTAATCCACAGACAGGTGCATTAGAAATTTGAAGGACAGTTTTAGGGGTGAATTCGGAGGATTTTGCCTCGGGGGTTCGAGCCATTTTGAGTGAAATGAATTAATGGAAGCAAAAGTGTATGAAAGGTACTTAGACCCTAATCACCCAATGATGTCCAATTTCCAAATGTTAAAAAAAGGCAATTTATATTTTGTAGGGTCCAACTCCAAGTTACTTGGAGCAGATAATGGATAACTAAAATATAGCCCCACTAGTGTGGCACGGACTCACACTCCTGAAGGATGGATCGGGAGTGAGAGTCCATGCCACACTAGTGGGGCTAACTAAGATACTCTTGACAGTTTAGCCCAGACAAGTGAGTTACAGAGCAAACCGGTTAGCACAAGCAAGGTCCGATCAAACTAAAATTTAAAATATGTAACTAAAGGTCTAGTAAAAACGACTTGAAATCCACCCCTCTGATCCGTCTGAGAAACTTAAAGAGTTACAAAGTGACGTTGGCGGCGCACTCAACTTACACTGTTTCATTGTGATATTGATCGACCCAGAAGTTCTCGTTTTCTGGAAAAGTCGCGTCAGTTCCGTCAAAAACTGAAACAAAATAATACGGTTGAAGTTACAAATAATCTAAATGTTATGAATTGATTGATTTAAACGTCTTTCATAGAGAGAAATTAAGGTAAATGTGCTTAAATGTACCGTGTCATTGTCGAGGAGAACCATGTTGATAAATAGTCTGTGCCCAGGACAAACTCTCATATGTGTAAAGAAGTACTAACACTGGGAACGAGACAAATTTTTGCCAGACTTCAACACACCGAGACGTTCATAATAAAGCCTACCATTGGGATATTTCTTTCATCTTTCACAGAATTGGCCAATGGAAACCTTCAACAAAGTTGAAAAACAGCTTCCTTCCCATCATGCATTTTCCGACGACTATTTTATGTATTTTATGGAGTAGGTAAATAAGAAGTGGCACAAAAAAACGCTTCATGAGTTGAGAAGTTGGCGAAACGTGCTTAAAACTTGTAGTTGTACTATTTGTGAATAAGCGGAGATTTGTAAAATGACTGATTTGACTGAAAAAGAGTCACCAGTAATCACAGAGGATGAGGCAGCTTTGTATGATCGACAGATTCGTCTGTGGGGTTTGGAAGCGCAAAAAAGGTAAAATTTGCATTGACATGATTGAATGAGGCCTACAACTACAACTTACAAGTACAAAATCATTTCTGCATACAGCATAGGGCCTGTGAGCAGATTGTACGTAAATTTTATGCAGGCCTATTCTCGAGGTTGGACATCTGGAAACTTCTAAAGTTATACATAGCTGTTTAGCACAAAGGGTAAATTTGCCCCTTTGCTGCATGTTAAAACTTAAAGCACGTAGTGACGTCATGCCGACTGAAATAATTACGGTAACAGTTAGGGGCCAGCTAACGTATACCTGTAAACAGGGCTATATTATATACTCCTCCGTCGTATACTGGGCCCTGTCCCAATTCATAGGGATTTTTCTTTCGAAAAATTTCATCCGGGATATCCGGGGGCATAACTAAACATCCGCTTGATTTTATGAGCTGAAATTGCACCGGTATGATCACTATTTATGGGGTAAACTATGCCCTACCCTGGGTTGCTAATTGCATTTATGTACATGTTGGCAACTACATTGTACATGTACAATGTGATAACCACTAAAATCAATGTAAAACAGAAAGAAAATTAGACAAGATTTCAGAAAATACAACACCCATCAGATTCAAGAGACTATAGAGAATAACAGGAGCCTGATGAGGGCTAGACAGAAGCTTTCAACAGGGAAACGGAAGGTTACAGCGTTATTGGACAAGGAGGGCAAGACGTACACATAATTATTCAGAGAATAGAGGAGTTTTATGAAGAACTCTACCATAGTGAACAAACAGTTGAATTGTATAGAAAGGGGGCCAGAAAATTAGCAGATGTTACAAGTTGGGAGGTCAAGCATGCACCTCAACACATGAAGAGAGGGAAAGCTCCAGGATCAGACAGAATTCTAATTGATACTCTAAAGGAAAGGGGCAGGATGTCATTACAGAAGAATTACCGGTAGCAAAGTTATTTACTGCTTGCATCCAGAAACGAAAAGATCCAGCTGAATGGAAGGAGGCAAATATGATCATACTTTACAAGACAGAACATAAGAAAGACCCCAAGAACTATTAGTTTGCTTTCAAATATCTACAAACTTTTGACCAGATTTTTGACCAACAGAATGAAAAATATACTTGACAACAACCAACTGACAACAACCAACAAGCAGGTTTCAGATGCGGTTACTCAACTAACGACCACGTTAAGCCAGCTCAAAGAGAAATGGCAGGAATACAATGAACCTCTGTGCATGGCTTTCGTCAACTATGAGAAAGCCTTTGACTCAGTTGAAACACACTCAGTATTGGAGGCATTAAAACAACAGGGAATAGAATACTGATATCTTGAACTGCTTGAGGATATTCATGCCAACTGCACTACTACTTTATAGTCACTCTTCATAGAAAAAGCAAAAGGATTAAAACGAAGCATGGGGTCCAACAAGGTGATACCATCTCACCATAGCTGTTTACAGCCTGTGTAGAGAGCATGTTCCGTTCACTGAATTGGGAAGAAAGGAATTAACTTCAATGGAGAATTTATTAACCATCTGAGATTTGCAGACGATATTGTTGTTATTGGAGAGAGACTAAGTGAAACAAAAGAAATGCTCCAAGACCATGCACATGCCAGCAAATTACGTAGACTGAAAATGAACATGATGAAAACAAAGACAATGAGAAACACACTAGAGCCAAAAAAACTGTCTTAATTAATGGAAACATTTCAGAAGTCGATTTATACATCTAACTGGGACAAAGATTTAGTCTGAATGAAAAGGATCAAGAAGTTCAAAGAAGGATTAATTTGGGTTGGTGTCAATATGGGAAGTTTTGTAATATCGTGAGAGGAGATATTCCATTATGCCTGAAAAGGAAGGAGTTTGAACAGTGCATAATTCCATCAATGAGCTATGCAGCAGAATCCTGGGCATTGGCAACCAAACTGGAAAAGAAAATAGCTGCTGCACAACATACATGTACCATGGAGAGGAGTATGCTTGGCATTACATACATGTATACTGTAAAGACAGAAAGGACATTTTGGAAATCATTAAACTCAGTAAGTGGCGATGGGCAGGACACCTTTATCGGAGAAAAGACAATAGACGGAGGTCAATCATAACGTCATGGAGACCTGCATGTACGTGTACATGTATGGATGGCAAAAGGAACGGAGGCAGACAGCGAGTGAGGTGGCGAGATGACTGTAGACAGATATTGGGGCACTGTTCACTGGCAAACAGCAGCTAGAGACAGAGCAAATTGGCATTGGCATGCTGAGGCTTTCACCAGTAGTGGACAGATCTCGGCTGATGATGATGATGATGATGTAGACAACTACAGGTTGATAACCTCTAAATCAAATTAGTTTCCACTCTTCTAAAGGAATCAGTAGGAATTTCTACCAAGTCCCGGTACATCTACCAAGAACCATCAAACTATTTGACATGACCTGACGTATGGAAGGAACTCCAGCTAAACTGCTCCTCTGAAATTTTCATCTGTAACTCCTTTCCGACATACATACATTTTACGCATGAAATTCACAATTTTAGAAATGCATCTTACATTTAGGTAGCTCAAGGTCATTGTTCTATGTTTTTAATTTTATGAAATAAATCTTGAACTGTCCGACTAGCCAATCACCAAAGAGTCTCGTGGGTATGACCCTCCTGATTTGAGGACAAAAAGTAGCTGTTTTTTTAGTCTTTGTCTATCAAAATTGAACTGGGTTGGGAAAGATGTTAATATCGTCTTGTGGAAAAAATTATGTTCTTTTATAATGTGTTGAGCTTGTGAAAGTTTCAACAGAAAAAGGCTTGGCTATAAGAGATACATTTATGAAAAGTTGAAGACACTGTACATTACCAAGACACTTTTTTGCAATGTGGGCTTATTTTTTTAATGCTGACAAGCAGAGTCCAGACTTCATTTTTTTTGTCTTCGTCCATTTCTCTTAGATTGAGAGCAACACGCTTTCTCCTTGCCGGCTTAGGTGGGTTAGGGGCTGAAGTGTGCAAGAACGTGGTGCTCGCTGGGCTGAAATCCATCACACTTCTGGACCATTGCTGCGTCAGTAAACTGGATGCCTGCTCACAGTTCCTTGTCTCCAGAGATGACATTGGGAAAAATGTGCGAAACGAGTTGTATAACTTGTATTCTGAGTAATGTTTCCCTATTTGTTTATTTTCCTATGTACGTGTGTTAGATCTTGAAACTTCTTGATTGAAGCAACTGTGAGAAATTTATTTTTAGTTCTAAACTGATAAATGGAAGTTTTGGCAGATTCACATTGATAAATAAATGAAGTAATAAACCCTGAAATGTGGAAAATGTGTTTTGAGGTAGATGTGTATGCAGGGTTGGGAAAAAATTGGCAGGGTGTTGGCCCGCCAGTGTCCAGATTGAATTGAAAAATGAGTTTTCTTAGGCTGTGTTCTTATTAGCATGCATTTGTTTACGTGTTTCAGAAAGTAGGGTGTCCAAAGTTACCTTCAGGGTGCCCAGAGATGCCCACCCCCCCTCATCTGAAACCTTACCCAGAAACTAGCTGTACACTTTAACACAAGCTAAGCCTATTTTGTCCCTTCTGATTTCAGCGAGCCGTTGCATCAGTTGCCAACACACAAGAGTTGAACCCAAATGTATGTGTAACGGCAGACGAGTCTGACATCAGCGACAAAAACGAGGAGTACTTTCGACAGTTTGATATAGTGTGTCTCACCTGCTGTTCCTACAAGACCCTAGAGCGGGTGAACAGAATATGCCACGACATCGGGGTCAAGTTCTTTGCGGGCGACACATACGGGTTCTATGGCTACATGTTTTCCGACCTCAATGAGCACGACTTTGTGGAGTAAGTACAGCTGATGAGTATGCAGAAGTTAGAAGGGGAGGGTTTGGGTTTAAGGCAAAGATGAAGTTGCATGTACATAGTTTTTAGTATATTGGTGCGTTGCTTACTTTGCACATGTATATAGCTTTGTAGATTCCGTAAAGTAATAGTAAACAGTACTGTTAAGGCAGCTGTTGACATGTTGGCACAGGTTTTCATATACATATAAACTTAAATGTGTATTTTGAATCTAAATGTGCAGAAACCTGCATAATGTGTGGGTGCTACAGGTGCTCCCGGCATCCCTACACATACATTTACATGTATGTGTAGGGAATGTTTGATGATCAGTGCAGGTGTCTGCTTTCTGAGGCATTGAAAGGTGACAGTTGGCAACAAAGAAGGAACTAATAAGCCTTTTGTGTTAAATTTGAATAAAATCTGGTACACAGATTTATCTGATTGCACATAAACATAGCCATTTGAATTCCCCTGACTACAGACACTGTTGCTATAACTCATGACTCGCGAAAGCTTTAACATAGCAACCACCATCTCTGGAATGGACTGGTTCCTTTTGTACCCTTCTTACCCATTGAAAACAGGGTATTGGTGCAAGGTGTGCCTTGTGTGCTTGAAGCAAAAGCTTTCCCCGAATCACAAGGTATGGTAACAGTGCCTTTAGTGTGGAGGATTTTAATTACATGTACGTTCATGTGAATTAAAAGAACTCAGTGTACCAGATTTTATTCAAATTTAACTTGTGAATTTGTCAACCTCCAGTACTGATGGAAACTAATATTGGTGTGAAAGGCCACCCCTCGTCCTGCCTTTGGGTCAGGGCCAAGGTGCGGTCCCCAAGTTATTCGGGATGAGGAACCAGTCAGGACTCGTGGGTTGATCTGTACATGCGATTATTTTGTTTCAATGCTGTGATGTCTCCCAATCTTCTTTGCGGAAGAAAGAGTTCCCAGACACGGATGCCTCGATGTGTAATAATTACACTGTTCATTCTATGCAAAACCATCAATGTAGCTCTGGCCATTAGCGTCTAAGTGAGCAACTTTTTACGGCAGCAAGTCACTCAAGCTCTGCTGTAATTCGGGTGCTAATGGCAAAAAGGCCTCATGTTCTAACATTACTGGGCCAGCCTATCTGTCTAATCACATTGGCTGTTCTGTTGTTCCAGTTATACTCCCTTTGTATAACTTTTAGGTCTGGCTTTGCTCAAACTAATCCCAATATTATCAGTCAGTAGATAAATAAAAAGAATTAATCAACCAAGTTACGACCCAAGTTTCTGGTGTAATTTCCCACACGGGTCCCCAGTACCACAAGTGAGGTGAAATGACCAAAAGGGGGTCACCAAGGGCTCTCAGATTGGAATGGCACAGCCAAAACTTTAGTGACAGTACGTGTATGTGCTGACACGTACCAGACATAAACTTGTCGCCAGTCACCAGACCAACCAACTCCCCACATTGACTGTAACACACCTCTTGCTGGTTCTTTATCCTACCGGTAATTGGCTGAAACACTATCACATGGGCTTCACTAATTATCAATTATAGGCTAGTGGGTGAAATTTGTGTCATTTTGAACTGGACATGCACCGGGACATGGCGCACTTTAAATGTTGAATTACTTGTGGAACTCCTTATGAGTTAATGGTGAAATTGAGAACAGTTGTGCAAAGAATGTCACCTTGTGAGAATTTCATTTAAAACCTGAAACTGGAGCTGAACATTTATTTTTCACATATGAGTTTTCCATGGTTGTGAGTGCTGCTGTATTTTAACAAGCTCAATCTTGCCAAGAATAGAAGCCTCTTGTTTGAGTGAGATGAATGAAACCATTGCCTCTCGTCATACTTTATGGCCTTTTTATTAATTCAAAGTTGTTAATCTACACTTCTCATAGTAACAAGGCCATGCGCTCTTAAGTATACATGTATGTGCATGTACATCACTTTTAAGGAAAAAAGAGGGGAAAAAAAGCTGCGTCACCACACCACTTTTGGGCCAAGCCCGTGACCAGAAACCGGAGTCAAAATTTGCCCAAAATATAAGTGAAAAGATCGCCTGATCTGTACAAATCAAAGCGACGGTCCGGTGAAGGTAAAGTATGAAGAAGGTTGACGTGTTACTCAGGGCAGATGAAGGAAAACAGCAGAGAACACTCAGACAATGTACTCTGGGTCCATTTTGATGGAGGATGGATTTTCAGTTGGAACTGTCCAACTGATCTTTAGACTGTATTTGCATGGACTTCACATTTCTCAGTTTCTTTGGGGTTAGCAATATTTTAAAGTGAGAAGTATTGTTTTCCCTTTTCTGTTTTTAAATGTAAGCATGAGAGTTCCTTATTTGGAAAGAGCAGCTTTATGTTATAGTGTCCACAGCATTGCTCTTGGCAACATTCGTCAGGAACAGCAACTTTGACAAATGAAGTGTTGTTGCTTTCACCCCATTTGATTGCCAGGGAAAAGATTCACTTTAAGAAAGATCCCGTGACTGATAAAAATGACCAACCACAGTCCAAGAAGCAAGCATTCCACAAGGAGACCTCCTATGTCAAGAGAACGCTCAACTTTTGCCGGCTTGGCGACTCGCTGCAGAAAGACTGGACCCAGTTGACCTCCAAACAGTTGAAGTACATGCCCAAAGTTTACTTTGTAGTGCGGGGTAAGGAAACGGCACCTTCTCACCGAATGCAGTTCATGAATCCATTCAGTGTGACAGACTTTCTTGGTGACTGAAAAAAAATGGCTCAGAAAATTAACAGTCCAAACCACACCCGGTCAGCAGTTGTTTAAAATAAGAAAATTGGAGTGATTAAAGGCATCGTGGTATAGTTATTTCACTGACTTCTTTCAAATCTATTGCTAACAATGGTTGAAAGATTTTGTTATGATTGAACAGCCGACATGTGTATCTTCAAGAATACTATAAGAAAAATTTTCTCAATTTAAAAGTACTTAGTCACCTGATATGTTTCGTAATAATTGTACAATCTGATGGCACGGTAAAAATACCTGTCGCTATCCATATTTCTCTCTGGAAGCATGTTGGAACAACTGATCACTAAAACAATGAAACGGAATTGGCAAATGTTAACATTTATCTCACAAAAGATAGAACACTTAGAATGCCGCTATATTATATTAGCATTTTCAAGAACTTGTACTTCTAGAAACATTTCTTGGCCCATTAGAAGGTAAAATGGGATTTTCGTGGCTTTTCCTGCTTTCAACATCCTCATCTCCTCATTTTTTCTGCAGCACTGTGGAAATTTCAAGAGGAATTTGGAAGGAATCCCAGTCCTGATAATCTGGAGAACGACAAGACTGAGCTGCTGAGACTGAGAGATGAGGTGCTCGATGAAGTTGGAGTCAAAGCGGACTTTGTCAGTGATGACTTTGCCAGGTTAGACTGCCAATACTAGTGTGTTGCTCTTTTATCATTGGGAAACTAACTTAACTTGTTACCAGTCTCAAGAGTTAAATCCATATGATACGCAATGTTCTCAATCTGAGCAAGATGGTGAGTGTTTCAGTAAGTAAAATCAAGTATAATTTCTCTATCAACAAGGCTTTTGTTGGAAATACTGTACAGTATACAGTAGTGTGTCTTGTTTGTTCCTTGATCGTTGTGCAGTTGCTCAGAATGGACATTTAGAGTGGCCAGGCCATGGCCCCAGAAGCACTCCCTCTAGTTTCCTGGTAATATGTTCATTTTAGGTATATTTGGAAATGAACAATATATTATTTAAGAATAGTTTCATTTTTATAAATTTGTCTGGCAAAAGCAACAAAAATCATAAAACATCTGAAATCTTCGAAACTTGAGTCTTCCATCATTTCCCGATGGTCTCCCTCGAAACAATTTTTCAACATAAAATATTTTGGGTGATTTCCTCCACACTTTGGGAGGTAAGATGAAAGGCAGCAAATGGAATGAGGGTGATGTCTAGCTTGGAATAATGCAGTTCCCGCCAATTCCCTGAACAACATCTTTAAATCCCAAGACAAACGCTATCAATGTGTGGTTTGCCATTGTGTGGACGAATAAAGTCTGTATTCAGCATTTTACCTCGGGGCTGTTTGTGCTTACAATCATGTTCATATTGTGTTCAACATCTTGCAGTCATTGTGCAGCAGAGCTCAGTCCGGTGTGTGCCGTCGTGGGAGGTGTTCTTGGTCAAGAAGTTATCAAGGTACTCCACTTTGATTTGTTCAACGTGATTTCATGGATTAAACTTTGTTGCGCCAGTTGTTCAGTTCTGGTAGGATCAACCTCCCAAAATAGTTCAGTCAGGATAAAGGCTACCAGTTGTCTGTCTCATTTATGTCTATTCATGTTGAACATACTTATGGTTCACTTTGATGGTAAGTCCATCATTTGTCATTTGTGCATTATGTTTGAGGCAACAAAAGTGCTCAAAATGTAAAGAAGGCTGCTTTACAACTAACGTTATGAAGGATTGGCTCAGTGAATGCTGTGTATTCCGAGACGAGCAAACATTGGAGGATCTCGCTTTCAAATAAAAAAATTGCCGAGTCATGTTTGGAATTGTGCCCTAATTCAGCATCTGAGACCTTCTCATGCAGCTGCACAATGTCGTACAATGAATCAAATTTATAGGAGGGTAATTTTAGAAATTAGGGGTGTGAAAGTGTGACATTTTCCTCCCTTTTACATCAGACCTTTGTTATTTGACATGGAAATATTACTGGAATTGATTTCAAACTATTGCTATTTGTTTGGCAGGTTATTTGCGTTAAGTTTTCACTCTTGAAAATTAGAAAAATCTGTTCTGAACTTACCAAATCATACGTCAGATGTGACAGGTACACGATAAAAAATGGACCCCAAATTTCTGGAATTAACCACGAACCACATACATGTCCATGATGTCAATGCTTGTGCGTAACTTGCTGAATTAAAAACAAACTACGGGCAATTTCCAAAATGCATCTTGGGACGCATAATTGGAAATAGCCTTCTTTCATGATCATTGCTTCCTTCAAAATGACATAATTATTTCCTGTTTAAACCAAGTACACTTTTCAGCAGTAATTTTGTCAGTTTTGTTATCCACAGCTGCAAATGTGGCACTGTACCTTTAGTAGTCATTACTGGCATTTCAAGTATAGCACTTTCAGTACATTTGAAAATATAACTTTGATGTGTTCCTTTGAATGGTGGTCTCCTGTTCGTAAGCAGAGCATAATACCCCCCCCCAAACTTTTGAGTCTACTAGTTCTTTTCTGAACTTCAACTCACAAAAGAGGTATTTCCCACATGATGCTACGCTGTTTCCAGCATTATTATAATTTGTAGACAAACACAAAGCCTTAACAGTAAAAACAAAGCGGTTTTTACATTTGTTGATATTGAGGTGCCCTGTGAAAGATGAAAGGCAGAACTCATAATGCAATAAATTTTGCAACTTGAAGCTAAGACTCAACCCTCTTTTTTTTTCTTGATCCCAACACCTGACAGGCTGCGTCTTGCCGTGACATACCTCACAATAATTTCTTCTTTTTCGACGGGCTGGAGAGCACAGGTACGGTTGCCTGCATCAGTGATGTGAGCGAATGAACACCCTACAAATGAGACCTACCTCTTTACGCCTTCAATATGCCCCATTTGGCTGGTGGATCCAGCTAGTATTTATGATAGTTCAACCACATTTGTGCCGGAGGACATCTAGACCCGGGATGATTTTTTTTTCCATGACTGTCACACAGAGGACTTGAAGACACAATATGTCAGTGTATACTCTCAGTGATGGGTGATCTGTTTGTGTGCCCTCTCACTTCCTGGGCTCTTTTAGATGCGTATGCAAGCACAGGGTCTGACTAGTGCTTGGAGGCAAGGGCAGATCCAGGGGGGTCCATTCCCCCCCCCCAAAAAAAGGAGGGTCAGAATATATGTTTTTGTTTTTTTGTAAAATGAGGGGGGAAAAATTATTTTTATTTACCTCCCAATAGCATGCTAAAAATCAAAATATAGCTTCACCCCTCAGAAAGGCCATAATGGGTTAAATTTAAAAATTTACATTTTTAGACTCCCGGAAAAAGCAATATTGGCCCTTAAAAAATTAAAATTTTCTTGTGGATCCAGTTTGTTGGAGGCTAGCATTGCTTGGTACTCTGTAATCGCATGCCATGCTAGGTTACTGTAGCAAATATTATTCTACAGCAATGTCTTGGCATCTTAAGAAAACATGACATAACAGTAATAATAGTCAAAGAAGCCTTGAACTTGTGTCTTTCATAGGTCACTATTTGTGGTTTCTGACTCAGCTTATAAAAAACTAGCTGTGGTATCCTGTGGATCCAGTCTTTTTTTCACCCCTAAGGAGGATTTTGCTTATCATCAAGATTGGTATCAAAAGTCAAGAGGAATTGTTGCATAGATGTATGTATCATGACATGTTTTAAACTCGGCCACCTCTCACATTTCATTGTCAGTTCCGGCAAAATCCAGGCCCAGATATGTGGAGCAGAAAACACAACTTGGCAGAAACTAGCTGGGAACAAACGGGGGAAGGGGTGTCTCCTCAAACCCCAAACACTTTAACATTCCATTTGCTGCAACATGTATGTACTTGCTTATGCTACTAAGGGCAGATCCAGGGGGGAGGCATCAGAGGCCATGCCTCCACCCCCAAAAAAGGAAATTAATAGCAAAGTATATGCAATGGCAATTGTTTTGGCAATTGTTTTTGGTCCATTTCTTTTCCCATTCTTCCAAAAGTACAATGTATGTAAAAACCACCAATTTGTAGCCTCAACCCACAGAAAGGCCATAAACAGTTACCAGCAATAATTCAAATTTTGACCCTCCCCCTAACTCAATTTTGTCTCCTCCCCCTCTACAAAAACCCAACCAAAATTGTCTCTGGGTCCGCCCTACATGCTTCCCATTCATTTTAGGGTTCGGTTTAATTGTAGGTCAAATATTACTAGTTTAAATTGTGTAGTTTTAATTTGTGAGATTAGGAAAGCCTGAATAAATCATCTGTAGAAGTGCAGTAAATGGTTTGATTGTGAGCACTGCAGTTGCAGTGTATGTGTAAAGCCCAAATTAAAGATCTGTGTTTGATGCTACACTGTGAGCTCTTTTTCTGTAGTTTTTTTTTTCAAAAGATCAAAAACTTTTCTTTTGGCATTATGAATGCTACTTGGCGTACATGCAAGGAAGATTTTACAGAAGCATGTTGGTTTTGCGGTTTTTAGGTTGGGATGTTGTTTTAATTTGTTTTATTTGGGAAGTAAACATGGCTGGAGAACGGAACAAGTAGGGAGTACAGTGAAAAACCTTTCTGGATTCTGTCAGAATTTCCTCAAATTTTGCAGCATATTTTTCTGAATAAGCCTGTTTGTTGAAATGAAATAGTGGCTTGTTCAGGACTGAAATAATTTTGCACGACCACAGTATTCTTGCTAATATGCCTGGAATGTTTGCAGAACCCTTCTAAAAATAAAGGAAAACCACTGTATCATCATATTTTATTCCATTCCATTCTTTGTGATTCAAGTCATCATCCGGTGTCATGTCCTCATTTTCACTTACAACAGAGAAATGGCGTAACTTTCCAGCTTGACTTGGTATAACATTAAACTAATAACCCTTTGAAGTTATATTATCACCGATACCGTGACGCGGTTTTGGTGTAGTTGATGGTGTGCAGAGTGACGGCCGGTGCGATGGGGTAGAGGGCGCTCCTGCATTTCCGCCGTCACCTTGCTGAACTAATACATTCACGTCTGTGTTGTGAAAAATAATGTTAATTTTGCAACACTTCCTATTGTATCCAACTTTGTAAGCCATCTCTCTATTTTTGCAGCAGTTCAAAAAATCAAAATCTCACGAGTTTTTCCGTGTGTTCCTGTAAAACCCTGACGAGGAGGTGGTGTGTGATCCTCTTCCGAGAACAGTGTTCATCAGTCGTGTTCCCGCCGCTTGAGCGCGAGAACAAGAAACCCGTCTCAAGAACCCGGCGCCCGAACTCGACCATAAATGCCGCGTTACAGTAAATTTATTTTCCCGATCCGTTCGGTTGCATTATACAACCAGCCAACAAACGAGGACATGGACAGAGGCGGGCGAATTAACACACACCTCTCTGATATACACTCAGAGATTTATTCTTTATTTGTTCTTCTACCCAGTACAGCGTCCAACCTAGTAGGCTGGCCCAGTGTTACAATTAATATTCGCGTCGGCTCACCGTCTCAGTTACTCCGGCTAAATCATGGCTGGAAGTTACCCGGTTTACTCTTCTTTTCCCAGACTGGTACTATGGTAGTTATTCATGTTACTCCACCAGTCCCCGACTGATAGTTACTCCATTTAGGCCTACTCCGCCAGTCCAGACTGGCATGACTGGTACTAGTTCCTCCATTTACTCCGCCATGCAGTCCTTGACTGGTAGTTCTTAATTTACTCCGCCCGCTCTGACTAGAAGTTCGGACTGAAATATACAGGTACTTGCAGCACTCGGGTACGAATAACTTTGTCGGTCCCTGACCGGAATTTACTTAACGAGGTATTTCTTATTCGGCGCTGACATCGCAGTGAGTTCCCGCTCCGCTGGTAATGCTAACCCCCCGGCCCTAGGTACCGAAGCAGACTGAGTCGGTCGGAGTTGCCGCCAGCCGGAGGTTCCTAATATTGCTTGCTCAGGGGCAACTGAATACCCCATTGAAACTCAGCTTATAACTAACCAATAAATTGTAATAATTAAATGGCACTAACAGTCAACCTACAACATAAATCTGTGTGCTGGTGTACTTCGGCACCATAAAATATATGTAATCGGATTTATACAATCATTCCTAAGTCAGATTCTAAACTCCATTAGCTAAGACCAATAATTCATTCAGCACATTCATTAATTCAAATTTACATAGCTCCTTAACTATTATTTTCGATAAGAATATACACCCTGCCGTGTACCTACTTAGTTCTGTTTCTAAAAGCAAACAACCTATGTACTCATATCTAAACCAAGTTTGCTTGCTCAGCGGTTACTGTTGCGTGTACGTTGTAGAGCACGCAGCAAGCTTCCGGAACCCTCGCGCGGTCCGCCGGCCTATCTGTAGGGCCTATAGGGATTTTACATTGTGCCGCCTTATAACGTTCGATAATTTTTGAAAAAATGATTCCTCACCGAAACCAACCCATGAAACACTAATGCTGAATTTTACCTTTGTCTTCCTCCAGTAATATTTAGGAAAAGTTACCTGGAGATGTTTAAAAAAAAACGAATTTCATTAACGACCTTTCACGTCCGGTGGTATCGTACCTACATGTAGGTCTTCTTATTCATGCACGTTTGTTCTCCGTTGCCCGTACTTAAGTGAAAACGAGATTGTACAAACAACTTGCAAAGTTTTACCTACCTTCTGTTTTCCAGATTCCGTCGAGCTGACAAAGCGCAGTTGTTGTCAGCAAGGGTTAGATAAAAATATATTCGAATCTTTCGTTCAAAGTATTTATTGCTTAACCTGACAACAATTGCGTATACGTCAAATCAACGGAAAAAGGAACCCAGCGGTTACAGGTAGGTAAATCTTTGTAAAGTTTTACAATCTCGTTTTCACGTACACACGAGGAGTGAAATCAAACGTGCATGTGAACAAGGAGATCCAGGTACGATATCGCCGCAAGTGAAAGGTCGTTGATGACATTCGTTTTTCCGCCACCCATCTCCAAGTGACTTTTCCTAAATATTAGTTCTAATATTCTAATTACTTCTAACATGAGTGTTTCATGGGGTGATTTCAGTTAGGAATTACTCTTCCATAAATTATTGAAAGTGATAGGACGGCCCAATGTAAAATCCCAATAGGCGGGTAGCGTGCGGGTTCCGGAAGCTCGCTGCGTGACGTTTTACCAAGTATGTTCACCCATTACACCTAGTTTGTGCGCATGCGCTAAAATTCGCAGCCGTGGTACGTAGCCTTGGGGGTGCACCACTACAAATAAATTCCCATAGACAGCAGTGATAAATCTCCATACTACACAAATATTTTAAAAATACAACTCTCACAGGTGTTCAGGCTGAACAGAAAAGTGATGTTAA